TGGCCACTGTTTGCAGCTGTGAGTGTCTCGATCCTCCTTCGAGCTCGAGCCATGCTGATCGAAGTCGTTGGCCACTGTTCGCAGGTGTGAGTGTCTCGATCCTCCGAGCTCGAGCCATGCTGATCGAAGTCGTTGGCCACTGTTCGCAGGAGTGAGTGTCTCGATCCTCCCTCGAGCTCGAGCCATGCTGATCGAAGTCGTTGGCCACTGTTCGCAGGATGTGAGTGTCTCGATCCTCCTTCGGGATCGAGCCATGCTGATCGAAGTCGTTGGCCACTGTTCGCAGGTGGTGAGTGTCTCGATCCTCCTTCGAGCTCAAGCCACTGACCAAAGAAATCATCGATCCGTCGGCAGCTTGTGAGTGTGATCATTCTCTGTCAACCTCCTGCATTCCTCACCGATGCAATCGCTGATCCATTGTCAGAATGCGAGTATATTGATTCTCTGTCGCCCTCGCACCATACTGACCGAATTCATTGCTGCTCCGTTGCCAGATTGTGAGTTTGTCGAACCACCATCGAGATCGAGCCATACTCGCTGAATATATCGCTCATCCGTTCACAGGGTGTAAGCGCATCGATCCGCGGTTGGATTTGAGCATCACTGACCAATTAAATTACCGATCCCTGTTCACAGTATGTGAGTGTGTTCATCTGCTGTTGATCCCGAGCGTTGGTGATCGACGACATCGCTGATCCATCAATAGGAAGTTAATTTCTTCAATCTTTTTTGACTTCGGGCCATGCTGACCGAAGATGTTACACATTGGCAGAATGTGAGTGTATCGATCCTCAGAGGTGGTCGATGTTCAACCTTCCACCATGATTTGACCAGCTTGATCGGAGTCATCGTGAAGAGATGCGGTCTAAGTTACTCTCTGTGGTATGTCCAAATGGTCACACATTTTACACACATTTCTGATGTTGCGAATGTGCCAGGCCTCTGGCCCATCACCCTTGGAGAACGTTGCTCAGCTCATTTCTGGTGAATTTTGAGGCTATGTTACGATGAACCTGCTTATTATCGATCATTTAGCTGTTGTCATTATCTTCGAACATTCTTTCTACGTTTTCGACAAGCAGCGCTATCTTCAGGACAAGCGGGAGTCTGTTCCCTCTTTTCGTATCGCTCTCGAGCAGTATATTGCGTCTCCGCATGCAGCTGTTGTCAGGGAAGGTGTGAGTGCTGCCGTCCAGGCATATGAAGATCCTGTGACAGCTGCTGCCCACGCATATGAAGAAGGCGTGACTGCTGCTTCCCGCGCATATCAAGACGCTATGACTACTGCTGCCCACACGTATAAAGAAGATGTCGGGAGCTTGCCTGCTTGGAGGGTGAAGTTACCGTTTGGACGTTTCAAGAAGGCAAAAGAAGCTTTCGAACGCTTTCGGGGGAAGGAGAAAGAAGCTTTGTGTTCACAGGCGAAGGTGGAGTTAACCAAGACTATTCTTGAAATCACTTTAAATCATCGGCTGCGTATGTTTCACCGTCATGTTGTGACAGCAATCCCACTGATCCGCTTGTCTTCAGCAAGACCTTAACGTGTCTCAATTTGCGTGCCTCTTTTCTAAAAAGAGATCCCGGCGTGCATTGTCATTTTAACCTTAAACTCTACGTAGACACATGGACTTCAATGTTCTTGACAACGTCGGTGACTCCAGCTGGTGGTTGATGGATGAAAAGACCTGGCCGTGAACGGAAGATAGCCTTCAAACTCGATGGACCTCGAGCAGCGGACGCACCTTGAAAATATCTCGCTTTCGTTCTTTGAGGGACAGCGTGCCAGGTGCGTGTGATCATAGCTCTGGGTTATGAAGTTTTATTAGATGGATGCATTATTCCGTGATACATTCAGCGTTGCTACTACTCTGTGCATGCCACGGTCAAAACCCACTCATCCATTCAAATTCTCAACGATCGCGTGGATTGTAACCTGAATCTTCTCGAGTGACTGACAGACGGCATCATCGTCGAACGAAGGAGAAACCGACTTACAGGATGTCAGCATCGATTCAATGGAGAATTTTTCAGCGCTGGATGTCGCCTATGCTATGGTCTGACTTACTGTTTCATGCGTGTCTTATAAGCATGAGAGCGTGTCGAAGTATAACGACTGAATCCCGTGTCTATCTATCTATATCTATATATCGCTATCTATCTATCTTATATATCTATCTAAGACTTATGGTCAAGCTGTTAACAGACTTGAAATCTGTTCCTCCTGGATGGTGCAGGTTCGAAACGTGCCGAGAATTATATTTTTTCAATGCTGCGTATTATAGTACAATGGTAGTCATTTATTGGGAACAACATTGAATTGCATGTGTCTTCAAAATCAAATACTCAGATGGTGATATCTACTCCAACGTGAAAGTTCGGAAAGGGCAGAGAGCCTAGAGAGAGCTGGAAGTAGACGAACTTGTTTGTCCCATTCATGAAAAACCCAGATCTCTTACGATAGCCTCCATCGTCGGGCGATTGGCCGGTATCTTATTCAAGCACGGTGAGAACTGTTGATACACCCCATCACTAAACTGTTGTACACCGCATGACTGAACCGCCGATACACCGCATGACTCTGTATGCCCTTGACAGGCACACATCCACTCTGTATCGCGTTCATAACATTGAAAGGACTTGTCACCCACGCGTAAGGCCGATTTCCCGAGAAGATCTTGGGATATTGTAAGAAGGCTGTTTTCGTGTATTAACAATCCGACGGACCTGCAACGCGACGCAGCCATATGAATAGACATCCCAAGCTTTTGTTGGCATCTTGTGTGTAGCTTCGTCTTCATCTTCATTTCCAGCTCGTAGAGCCTCAGGGGGCGTCCACAATGTGTTTCCTGAATGACAGTCGCTGAATATGGCGTCCCCTGCCTCGGCAAGGATCATCGATAAACTAAAGCCTGTGAGACGGAGGCAACCAGATCTGTCGATCAAAACCTTGCTCTGACATTGAATTCATTTAAATACTATATGAGGATCGAGATAAGACATACCGGTGTCAGGTCACCATGCACGATACCCTTGCCATGCACTAGTGGATAATCTTTAGTAAATGGTGCAATCACCACATTTGTTAACAACGGAACGCACAGTAACTAATACCAGCGGTTATCTGCCATATCTGAAATCATGTCTGAGGATAAACTAGTGCAGTAGCTATTTGGCACTTACAAGCTCTCGTTTTCGAGCGTCAGATAGTCTGGAAAACTCGCGCTTCAAGTAATCATCCAGCGATCCTTCTTCCATCCATGGAGAAACTAGTGCCGGAAGTGGCCCAAATTCTTCAGCAATAGTCACACCCTCGAGAGGGAGAATATGGTCGTGTTCCAACTGTATCCAAACATGGACCTCGCGACGAAATTTCTGGGGAGTAGATGTATCAGCAACTGGAACTACAAATCAATCCCCATACTAACTTTGACTATCGGTGACAGATTCGCATCTGTTTGTGAAGGGGCCCTGATAGCTTTGACAGCGACCTTGATTATGAGAAATGATAAGTCTTCCACTGATGTCTAAACTCACAAGGCGCCAGGTTCCAGATGGTGTGGTCATTGAACATTTCCAGGTGTCATACAGCTCTCCTCTAAAGACTGGAAACTCGCCATCTCTTACGATATTTGTCGCAGGAATATGGATCGGTGTATATTTGAATTGAACTGGCTCCTGCCAATAATATCAGTATATCATCAACGTGGAAGCATTATCAACTTATGCGCCGGAAAAGATCCATTGCGAAGTAAAGCTATATCTCAGAGTTCAGAATGACAAGTGCTAGACAACTGGGATGCATATGCAGGAGCCGAGAGACAACCTTTACATCGCTCTGGGACAGAGGTAAGTAACGTGATTTCTGCACGTGTTGGAAATTTCCTAAGGAACATTTCATTTTCCTTATGCTGTTGACATTTTTACTGTCTCGAAGCCGACTGAAGGGGAGTCCTTGTTAATTTATGAGCTCGATATATGCTAATACTCTATGGACATCATAGTACATAGTTACATAAAAAATTAAGTCTCGGACTACTTACCATGAAGAATCAAAGAATTTTGCCAGGACGAGAGCCCGAGAAAAAAAGGACTTCACATTAACTCCTTTCTCAAATCAGAACATCATACGCGGTATTCCATCTCATACTGCTCAAACGTCGGGGGCGAAGTCCAACAGATGCAATCCTCGAATGTCGTACTGACATGCACACAGTTGTCGTTGGCATGCGTTTCCCAAATGCTGATGATAACACGTGGCACGATGATAGATGGCGCGGTACCGTTGAATAACTGTACGAGATACATCACCACTGTCTGTGCATGCCTGCATTAGAGTAGATCTCTCTAGAATCACGGGAGATGATACCGGAAGGTTCGCCCACATTATCGCTAGGAAGATTTGAGTTGCCAAATTCCTAGCGAGACTCGATGAATGCTTTCAGAGAACACGGCGAACGAAAGAGAACTTACAGGACAAAGTATATGACATGATATCGGACGATCATGACTATATAGGCATTAGGCTTTATCTTAAGTTCCTTCCGTTCTTTCAGGTGCTTCACGAGGACGGCAATGGCGAGAACAACCAGGAAAATATCATAGCATATGACAGGGATGGCAGCATATACCGCAGGCATAGGTCCGACGTGGAAGAAATACGTGCAGTACTTGACGTTTGGAGTTATTGTTATTTCTTGCACTATGCACCAAGGCATCAGCTTGCACAGAATTCGATCAAAGTAGAAATTCACTTGAGATCGCTGAGGGTCGACTCCATAAAAATATATCCACCGCTATATAGAGCGCGACGATAGGTAGGAACAACCCCAGTGAAATATAAAGTATGCGCTTGGACTGGTTGCATAGGGCGTAAAGACGCCAGATGAGAATGACTGCAAATGCAAAATGAGTACGCGCAAAGACGCGAGAACGTATGTATGACTTACCTTTTGCCAAGCACAAATATACAGAAAACCCCCATTGCACAAACAGGAACATGCTATAACCTATTTCAATTTCATGATGAGCAAAGCTGGTTGTAGTTGAATGCGATTACTCACAACTAAACAAGAGGTCAGCCGCAGTAGATCAGGCGCCTAACTGTAAAGCGACGTACGGCTGAATCTGGGTCAACTAAGAACTCTCTAAAGAAAGAATCGATACACTTACTCCTTCAGGCATATAAACTAGACCTCCCCCTAATGGTAGTCAGTTAATGAGGGCTCGGTTGGAATCACGCCACGTACAGCAGGCGCAAGTCCTAGACGTCAGCGTCAACATACAATGTACTATCTGGAGGATACAACCAGCCAACGTACATTGCAACCACAATACCAAAATATCGAACCTGACGTAGCAACAAAAATGAGAAACCATGAAGCACTTTGGCAGGGTGGAGCTCACAACAAGGTATATGTATGACATTGCTGACCACGGTCTGTCCTGCATATACAGTCAATCGCATCTTGATATCGTTGGGGTTGAGTTCTAACCCAAACAAACGTGATCTGCGATAATATGATCATAAGTACTCGATGATGATAAATTGACCTCATTACCTCTTTCTCGAGCTGAAGCACTAGGTAATATTACGCTCAGCCGCACTGCAAGGTTTATGAAAACTACTGACTGTACTCATAGGATATCAGGGTAATACTTGCAACTGAAAGACGATGAAGTTCAGCACAAATATTTGTTTCCGACAAGGCTGACGAACCTGATATGTTGTTATTCCACTCAAGAGCATAGAGAGATCCTTCTGGTCCCGACATGGAACTGTGCAAATCAAATGAAGAATTCAAAAAGTGGAGGATGAGCTACTGATCATCAATGTACAGTACTTATAGGGCGGTCTGATCGGAATCTTGTTGTCGGCCGTGTGATCATCGATATGTGACATCAAATGGAAAGTGCGGAGCCGCAAGCTCGGTACGATGTCGTACAATTTTCATTAGGACGCCACAAGTCACAACCTTTACGAGTTAACTTGAAGGGTCACCTTGTGTCACTGGTAGCAGTCAACTCCACTTCTTGGGCTAGATTCTGCCTGTCGGACCCTCTTGTTTAGGTCGCAATGCATGATTTAAAATCGAACCTCGAAATAAGCGAAGAGTCTGGAGGCCGTTAACATTGTGACGTCCTTATGGCAAAGTGATCTCTTGGAAAGGCATGGCCATGATGCCTCCGAGGAGGAGAACAGCGTACTAATCGCACCCTATATTAGAATATAAGTAACTACACTATTTGCAGAACAGAAATGACGACCTGACCCTCGGGGTGTGAGTGGAGAGCAGGGCCGGAGCGGCGCTGAGAGAGGGAGGGTAGTGGAGCCATGAGTGGATTTGGACCTCTGGAACAAATCATGCCCTTCCGCACTTTCAGACAGAGTACGAAAATACAGAATCGACCCTGATCTACTTACTTCAAGTAAGTCAGGGAACTTCTGTCAGGGCTGGAGTTTGAATATTTGAAGTGTGCCTACACACCTCGCTCGACCCTGAAGTTGACTTGAACCTGATTTGGGAACCGGGATGCCAGAATCGTAAGCGCGAGGTCTCGTGCTGTGATGGCGAAGTTCAACATACACAATCCTGCTGACACGTGCGCAGTTCTTGTTGGCATGTGTATCCCTGAAGAGCTCGGTGAGACTAGTAACCGTCTGTGCATGTATGCATTAGCTAAGCTTTGTAGAATCATGGAAGCATCATACCAGAATATTAGCCCGCAGTGCCACCAAGAAGATTTGGGCTGTCAAATTCCTAGTAGAATTTGATGAGTACTTTCAGAGAGCCCACCGGACGAAAGGGAACTCACAGGATGAAGTGTATGATATGATGTCGAACAATCGTGAACACATAGTAGGTATTAGGCTTCATTCCGTTCTTCACAAGGACGGCAGCTGCGAGTATAACTAGAAAAGTATTCATAGCATATGATGGGGATGGTGAAATATATCGCAGGCATATGTCCCAAGTTGAAGGAAGGCCCTTCTTTCACTATGCAATGAAACGGGATCAACTCGCAGCCAACGATCGATCCAAGTAAAAAATCACCCGAGAACGCATTCCGTCGACTATAAAAAATGACATCCATCCATATGGTGAGGGCAACAATAGGTCAGAATTCTAGAACAGCCCCAGCAGGTGTTTGGATTGATTGTATAGCGCATAGAGACGCCACACCTGCCAGTTGTTAGTTCTTACGTAAGTACTAGTACCGGATGTAATACAGGTGTCCCCATGTGACGATGACTATATTTAGCCCGCGAAGCTCGAAGTCAGCGAGAGTCGACAACTTGACAAGAGAAGAATATTCTCAGGAAATAACAGGCTAAAAGTCTGATATTTTGGGGTCCAGAAAACACCAAGGTAGCACTCCGAGTAGCTATGTACAGTAAGTAAATCAATACTACTGCGTCAATGACCTACGGGGAGACACGGAAACGTCAGGTTCAATCTTCAAGAAGCGGGTAGTAAGATACTCGGCCGATGGCGACATCGAGTACAACGAATAAATGACTAGTCAGGAGTTTGACAGCAGAGTAAGGTTTAGGAAGATTAAGGACAAGGCACTTTGCAGCTACCCCGATTCAGATCTACCTATAAGTGCATTTAAATCCGAATCACCTCTGTCTGCTGATCTGAAGTGCTTACTATATGTAGTTACATCAGTAGCGTAGTCAGCCAATCAAAATCGTTCAACGTTCAACGTTCAACCTCCTCCGGCTGACCGTCTCTTCCGTGAAGCAGTTCTCCGTCCTCTTGGCTCAAAAATTTGGTTTCCCAGGCTCAGCTCTCCCGCTGCCCAGTGCTTCGTAAATTATTTATTTGATCCAACCCTTGTTTTTGATCTAACATAACATTGTGTAGTAAGAAGAGCACGGGCCTCGTCAGTAGCATACCCACAATCATGAGGGATTCGCTGCTCCTGATGCCTCCCAGCTTGCACTTACCACTACCGTCCAGACGACCGTCTCTTTACATACGCGCTAGTAACTGTACGTCTTACCTCATGCTCACCTAGCTAACTTGATTCAATCCCCCCCCAGTGTGCGGATCTTTCGAGCTGATGGCGCGCACCTGCTCCAAATCATCGAATTCAAGTTCTCCCCGCGCGCAGCAGGTCACTTCGACCGTTGCGTTACGCTGGACAAGGAGGGACCAATCAACGCCGTCTCGTGGAACCCAAACTCGAAATAATGCAGCATTGTCTGCGAATGTTAGTTGTCGGCCCCCTGGACGCGAAGGTTGACTGCCTGAAAAATCAGTCTTGGATCAGCGTGTGTGGATCACTACTCCTCATAACTTCATCTCGTTCAATCTTGCCGGCTTCGGCATCTGGCAGGGAAATTGACATCTTCGACAGAAAAAATTGATAAAAATCTATATAATCGACGCCTCATTTTACAAGCGGTCGCCCTTCAGCAAATTCTTCTTGACAGCTACCCTGTTTCCTCGCCTCCGTGTAGACAACGGAATGAAGATCTGGTATTGCATCAATAGATCTATCCACGTCCAGCTCCTTGAGGAGTTATACCAAGCATTTTCGAGACCCACTCCGCTTATACAGGCACCCTCATTTAGCCAGGCTATCCTACCACACTATCGCCCTCGATCAGTGTATTGGTGGAAGCATCGTCAACTAGGCCTGTCACACTGTAACGCGCAAGAGCTTACTGACCGCCTGGTGCAAATAGACCCATAAATTGTGCAAGATGTGTGTAGTCGGTATACATAATCGAAAATTCCTCAGGGAACCACCCAGCAACCGTCTCCTCTAGCGATCCGTACAAACTCCTCTCATTCTTCATCCAGTGCTATACCCAAGTCCGAGCGCGCTTGCTTTCCCAATGAGTGATGCACCTCTATCGTCAGCTCCTTGCGTTCCCTCTCGTCCATTGGCAGTGTAGAACTGGGGTAGGATGCGTGAAGCTCCACGCAACCCTCAGATATAGTAACAATGATGTCGTTCCAGTCATCATTGAATATCACTGGCGATGGTGCCGCAGGAGCAGTGACAGAAAACATGGGCATTGATAATGTATATGTGAGAGGAGTCCTCGTTCTGGATGTAATTCCTTACTGCCCGACATCTGGAGATCATCGGCTCGGACATGGGCGTAGAATATAATAGGGCTTTGTTGCCGTGGGGCACGAGGGTATGACAGGCAACGCTTACTGCCCGGGGAAATATCTGGGGCGAAATAAGGAAAAATTTGGGTAAGGAACTGTCCTTTTCTTGATCATCGGTATTGCGTGAACTATCAGTACTGGACAAGTCACTCTGGAATCAGGCCCGTAGCAAACCCATTTTCTCAAGTGACTCAGGACGTGGTCAGAGAGACAAACCTGTCTAGTTACGAATCACAGTAGTTAAGCACTACCTTTGCGACTATCATTAATATTACGACTGCGGGCACGATGCTCCGCACTCCCGATACGTTTAATCAGCCTGGGTCCAAGACGGCCCAACACTGATATTTAAATTTGGCTACCAGCCAATATGTAATTGTACATGATCTCCCTTGGACCACAAACTAAGAAAAACAGTCGTACCTAGAGTCTAAGTATACAATGCATTGTGGTGCCTGAGAGCGAGCTGGTCCAGGGTCGAAGTATAATTTACACAGAAGTCCACTTGCAAGTTATCAGCAAAGCATCAAGAATCTGGATTCGGTCATTTTCACAGACGGTTTCGGCGACACCTGTTACAAGCGTGCATTTGACACCCTCCACAACGCTAATGGATGTCAAGTCAGAAGGTGTGTCGACGTAAGAAAGGCGATGCAGATGACTTACGAAGAGGTACAGTGGGAGATACATCTCACAGCTCTCGCAACGTCCGCCACCGCGCCGGTATTTCCAGCTTGTGTGGTCACAGTCATGGTCCACTCTGAGACGCTCCATGGTCTCCCTGATCATACGCTGTCTGACAGCGTTCCTATCCGAGCCCGGCGTTACGGCAGTTAATGCGGGCTGTAGCTGTGGCACTTCTGTGAACCACGCTGAGACGCGAGCATTCGCCTCAGCACGGCGAGTCCTCCGAGTCTGGGAAGGGGGTTCTGGGAGAGGTGCTGGTGCCTCGTGACGGAGAGTCGTGGTACGGGGTGGAACAGGTGGTGCCTCGCGACGGAGAGTCGTAGTACGGGGTGGAACAGGAGGAGGTACTGGGACAGGTGCCTCAGCACGGCGAGCCATAGGCCAGACATTGACAACGGGCGCTGGTCTGGGCGCTGCCACAGGAACCTGTTGAGGAGGGTCTACAGGGCGAACATTGACAACTGGCGCTGGTCTGGGCGCTGCAGCAGGTGCTGGTCTGAGTATATTAATAGGCTGATTCCTAGCAGCGCCAGCAGCTGGCACTGGTTGGCGCGCTGCAGGTGCCTGTTGGGGAGGATTGACGGCGTGGGCGTGACGTGCGGGCGGCAGCTGAGCATCCACGCGACGTTCTGCAGCAGCAAGCAGCCTAGCCTCGTCCCACTGCGGGCACCTGCAGCTCTTCCAGAGTGCTTTGCACAGATAGCAGAACTCTGTCCTGCATCGGCAGGTCATGTGGAAACATCCCATGTTAAGCTCGATCATCTGAGCACAGCCTGGACAACGTGCCCACCCCGAGGCACGGCTGAGTGTCAGTACTTGCTCAGTCTCTGCATCAGGAGTGCAGCGGTGGGTGAACCCTTCGTATCTACCACGACATTTTCCACATGTCATCATCGTACACGTAGGGGACGGGCATGTAAAGACCTTGGTGAGAAACCCCTCATATAATGGCCCGAGGAAACGGCTGCACGTTGGTGCAACACAATAAACACGCTTCATGGTCCCAAATTCTTGAGCTTTGAGGGTAAACTCAGCCAGGACTTCCTGTGTCAAGTGAGGCCGAACTTGCGGGAGTGTAATGTTCTGGCGACAACATCGAGGAGGATACAGGCTCTCGTCCCGTGTTGCTGATTGGAATAGGTCGGTGATGCAGCCGATATCATAAAAATGGCCACATGGTGCCCGAACTTCTGCTCCGAATATGGGGTCCTGGCAGATCACACAATCGTGGCCAGTGGCCCTAGTTATGATAGTGTCAGTAACAGTGCATTGGTATAATAGGTAGTGACACTCTCACCGAGGGCGAGGAGGAGCTGGCCTAGCTGCAGTGGTAGGCGCTTGACCTGGATTTGCCGGTAGGGGGGTTCGACCACCCGATGCGGGTGCCGAAAAAAATGAGGCAAACCACTGGCCCCATGTTTGTGTTTGTGCTGTCGTGCTGAAATTCTGGTCAGGTACTCCAGGGGAACATTACACTCGCAAGCGTACTTTCTCATGGTGGGTTGGGCTTGCTGTGCTACGGTTGCTTGCCTGCTTATCTGTGTTAGCATTGGGAATCACGCCCGCAATATATGGCCTTACCTAGGCGTAGGATTAGGCTCTTCAACAGCAAGGCGCTGGGCAAGTTCTCGATCAGCATTGAACTCCGCAAGCTCTCGAGCGTTCTGCATCAACAATGCAAAAGCAACTTCACGGTCAGTAAGTCTCTCTCCTCGATGCATTCTGTTATGATATAAAGTCTGCAATCTCTCCACGTCAGCAAGCTCCAGTTGGGCAATCATACGGGTAAGATCCTCCTCATAGTTATCTCTATCTCTTGGACCATGGACCGAACGTGGTCGTGAGGGACCAGCGATGTTCATGGCGGCAAGAGAGAAAGAGTCGAGCACAAGCGTGAGAGCCTACAACGACATTCAAAATACTTCGAATTCTAGATGAGCGGCATTAACACGTGCCCTTGGTGGGCGCAACAAAGATCAGCGCTTATATTCTAATGACCCACACGTCGTACAAGATTGCTGATCATCGGCGATGAGCTCCAGATAGCCAGAGTTCTATTTTACTGTAGTGTCCCCAATAGCCCCTAATCCTACATCAGAGTAGTCTGTGATTTAATAGCTCAGACCGAATACATCCTTCAGAATCTCGACCAGTTCTTCATCTTCAGCATCAGCACTTGTGGGACTATGACAACCTTGCTCGGCTGCAAACCTCTGTGCATACTCACGAGCCTCGTTTATCTTGAGGACGGTGGGCATGCCGAGCCGCTTGCCATCCTCAACGGAGCGACTCGGTTGTTTACACAGAAGCATGTAGGCGGGCAAGAGGAGCGATCTGTCGAGGTCGTACTTATCATATATGACAACTCGCTCGACAGGTTTCATGTCGAGCTTTTGCAGCTGCCGGATTGCGAGGGTCCCGCACGCCTGGAAATTCCCACCGTGTGGCCAGGTCAAGGATAGTGAGCCAGTGGTCCATGGGTTGCTCATCGTACCTATATTGCCTTCGATTCCAAATGCTCAGTCTGCCGAAGAGCATGAGCTGGGAAAGAGGACTCACGGTTGTAGAATACCCACAGCAGTCGCTCGAACTCGCTGACCTTGACATCCTCAAGTCGAAACGCTGCCTGGTCGGACTGACCATCATCCCTGTGGCCCAGCTGTTTCAAATCTCTCCCGGAAATATTCGGACTCTCTTTTTCAAAAAAGTACTTGTGTACGCGAAAGACGTGCCCGCGACCTGATTGACGGTGGGTTTATCAGGACCATCACGATCAAACGAAAAGAAGACGTGCATGAATTGATACGCTACCGTCATGTAAGTAATACTGGGGATGGCGTGTTATTCGGGTTATGCCCATAATTTTGATAGTCAAACTGTTGGATAACGATGATGTGTGGGAAGCTCTCCCCGGACCCCACTTTTATCTGGTGCCATGGCCACAGCATGCCTTCCGTATTCCATTTGCATGTGTATTGTTTGGGAAAAAGGCTATGGCAAATGTAACCAAATGTGCATCAGTTCCGAATCACCCCACAGAAGGCTGCTGCTGCAAATCAAATGAGGATTCATTCGAAAAGATAGAAGTGCGGAGATAGGTCGTGCACGAGGCATGGTGGGCTGTGTCCGATGGTAAAACCTGTGTCAAGATGATCATGGTCTCCCACCGGTGCTTGTATAGGACTATAGGAGACATCAGCAGTGTCAGGGTCCAGTAAGGATCCACATTCGTCCCTGCAAGAACTTGTAGCACTGGGTCACCACTGGATCAGTTTCAACTTATGGGCCGTCAGAGTCTGAAGGCATACATACATCATTTACCTCGTGCTTGCACCTCCTTTAGTTATTTTGTGGTTTTACTAGGAATCGGATATGCACTTAGCATCGCAGCTGTTTTGAGATGAGTCGTACATGACCAACAACCCCAAGAACGGTACTTCATTTCCAGTGTGACCATCATCTCGTCGTCGTAACGCGCGTCAGCTGAAATAATTTGCACTTTGAGTAGCTGATGGGACAACAGTGAAATTCGATCTAGGTCCTGAACTACTCTCGAGTAGAACGTCGAGCGCTCCGGGAGTTACTACCTGCCTGCAAGAAAGACGCCCGTTATTTCACTGCAATGCGGCCTCAGTCGTGATTGGAATCCGTTTTAGGATCTGATCCTACAAATATCTAGTGAAACGTTTACTCCAAGTAATGCAGGATAATGCTGACCGATGTACCCAGGCTCCCGATTGGATCAATATCATCAAAATGCAGATGGGAAGTTACATTACAGCGGAAGGTAAGTGTCCTAACGCAGCTGCACGCTTGAGTCTTGGGATCATACGAGCTTTTGAGGAACCTGGTATTGCCAGGATCAACTTGAAGGATGGCGTGTTGGGTGCGGCAAGTCACAAGCTTTCGATAACTATGAAGAGAGGGGATTTATAAGTACATTGAATGTGACTAGACAGGGGGATAATAGTTAACTGACATGAATGGGCACCTAGCCTAGTAGCTATTATCTTCTGAAAAGAAGTTGGAAACTCCGAAGAACTTGGGCAGCCTTCCAACTGTGCCAGAGTATGCTAAGGGACTCGATACACTCTGGTACAGTTGTAAGTGCCGCGACGTGTCCAGCACACGGTGGGCCACTTTAGTAGATTGGTGGTTGAAATTGATATTTGAAATGTTGACGTTGAACCCACGAAACCTCATAACCAACGATGTAAGGCTTTCGGCAAACAACCATCCACATTGGTCGATATAAACTGGCCAACCTGAAGTTAGCGAAATTTCGCCCAGTACGGGCACGTGACACAGAATTTAGGATCCTGAAATTCTATCATGGACGATGATAGTGCCGAGATCGAGCTCGTATGTTCTTCCTCCAGGCGGATTCACGAAGTGTTGACCGTTCTGTCATGATACAGCTAGAGCAGAACCTCAACAAAACGCACCAGATCTCACAGCGGATGACTTGTGCGTGATTCCCAGTCATGCCCAACTGTTGACTACGCTTCATAATATACTGTGACAGCCATCCTGACAAATTTCGACACTCGCCTCGTGAAACTCGAGAAGTCTATCCTACCACTATACAACTCGACACAGAAACTTAAGCAACGGGCTCATAGTTGGGTAGTCCAGATTGCATCATAAACAAGGACTCAATGGGTGGTATGCAGATATGATCGCGCTCTGCTGAAGATCGACGAGGTTGCTAGTAGTCAAGATGGCATCGCCGTGGAAGAAGGACTGGTTTACGGGGTACGTTACAGTTCGATCAAAGATCGGGACATAACTGATTCATGAATAGGCCGCAACTTGGTCAACTTGAAGCCTACATTGATATACTTGAACGTCTTAATGCTGCCATTGCATTCAAGTCCTCCGATGCAGATTCAAGAGATATGGTACAATTCAGACTCATTCGTCGTTATTTTGCATGCTCTCTAATCGTCTTTCCAAGGCGCGACTGATCGAGACCGGTGCGAAGAAGCTTACCCAGTTGTATACTAAGCTTTGTCGCAGAAGGCTCCTCGGGATCTCCACCAGTTTCAGGTCTTGCGTTCATGCTCACCGAGTTTCCTCCTTCCTTAATGTCCTCCCTCACACCCCTTGTCGCCTTCCTCCGTACTCTGCCCCTTCCATCAACGCATCCCTCTCACCCCGCTGCTTCAGCTATTTAAACACGCTCAAGGATGCACAGCGAGGGTATGCAGACATGCGCGGGAGTTGGAGTCGCAAAGCACTCGAAATGCATTCACGACGAGTTGTGGACCGAGCCGAGACTCTAGATGGCGTGGCTGCTGGGAAGGAGTTTAGCATCTGGATAGACAATTTGCTCAAAGTCACTGAGGTGCTTTTTCTGGTTACCGTCCCTATTTTGCAAGTTCTCAACAGAGCACGGATACACAGACAGAATACACCCTCCTCACCGAACTCGCCCCACTGTCTAGCAACACCCTCATTGCATCGACTTATGATACACTTCTTACTCCTCTCCTGACCCTCTTCACGGATACCTTGTCATCTCTGACATCCCTCATAAAGCGCTCGCTGCACAAATACACGTTCCATGCGCTCTCTGCGTTTCTGCTCTAACAATGTCTCAGAGTCGCTGGGAGTCTGTGCTAGCAAGACGTGGACGCGAGGGAAATGAGTTACGAGACGGGCTCAATGCGATCCGTGGTGTATGCCTCAGGAGCTTTCCTCCGAATTCTTAGCTGATTTGAAGCTTGCCGCTGCTGGCAAGGGCGGTGACTTGAGTGTCGGCTTAGCGGACATCACTATTTCGGTGTGTTAAGACAGTCCTTTGCTTTATATTTACCCGCACTGAACAAATATAGACCGTGCAGTATCTGAATCGCATCCCCGATGTCCAGGATGCTGTCGGGTCTGCATTGTCTGCGCTCGGGGATGGGAATTGGAAAATGGGTGACGGGAAGCAAGTAGGGAAAACTTCCAAGTCCAACCCTGTAGAGGTAAACGAAAAAGTCCTGATTCAGCATTTTGTTTGTGGGTCGTGTTTTCTTTCCTTTGTCCAAATATAGTTCATTCAATCTGCAGTCGACGTCATGAATACTCTCATCGGGAGCCTTACAACTCTTTCACGCACACAACGCCGGCCTCCCTTCGGTTCTGTGTTCCTCATTAACAATGTCTCCCATCTTGTATCTCACCTCGTCTTGCGCCCCACGAACCCAAACACACCTTCCTTGCTGTCTAGGCCCACAACAGATTTCCTCACCTCGTCGTGGCGCACTGCAAAGGCAGGTTACTTTGATGCCAGCTTCTCACCCCTCATGCAGACGCTCGCCGACGACGCACGAGATAAGACAAGCGGCAGTGGTTGGAAGGCGGCAGCGAAGGAGAAGTTTACGCGCTTTTATGACTTGCTTGAAGAGGTTGGAGAACGACATCGGATAGCAAAAGTATTGGAAGAGGATCCAGAGGAGAGGAGCGCTGTGGGGAGGAGGTAGTAAAGCTGGTTCTTCCGTCGTTGCAGCGGTTCATGCAAAAGCAGAAGGAGAAAGAGTTCAGCAAGAGTGAGCTTCTTACCCTTGTCGTATGCAATAAACTAACGCTTCACCAGATCCTCAAAAGTGTAAGCCATCCCGTATTTTTGCGCGAATCTGCTTCCTTTGACAACGCGTCCCGTAGATATCAAGTGTCTCCTGAGGAAGTGGAGTCCCGGATTAGGAATTTCTACAGCTAGTTCTCCATTCACATTATGAGCGAACTTCGTTCTACCTGTGACGCACCACTAGTTGCGGCTGAAGCGATTCATGGTGCTATTGGAGATGCGAATAAGCACGACAAAGTACGAAGTTTTTCACTACAGTTCGTTCGTTACTCTTCTAGATTGAATCCG